TCATGCACATGAACCCATGCATGTGACATGAAACACTTCTTGAATGCTTCAACTAACAACACGGCAACACCTGCATCTTGAGGCGGCACGGGTACATAAAGAATCAGTGACCCTGGCTCTCCTGCACCACAAAAACTAACAGATTCTCCTCACTGCAACCTGCAATGCATGATGAAAGCCTCTTTGCAAACAAGACTGCAAAAGCGCTATTTCCTAAGCCACCTTAAACCCTGCCAAGAAGCCTGCATGCATGTGTCATGGTATAAGCCCTGCCAAGAGGACTGCATGGTAAGCCCTGCCAAGGACTGCATGTGTCATGGTAAGCCCTGCCAAGAGGACTGCATGTGTCATGGTAAGCCCTGCCATGAGGACTGCATGGGTCATGGTAAGCCCTGCCAACAGGGCTGCATACACCAGAACAAAACAAGCTTTCCAAGGAGATCCCTACATTGCAAGCAAGCAGGAACCCTTGCTGTGTTGCTTTCTACCTTTCTCTTAACTATTCTGCATGTACACTGCACAGGACCATGCACAGGACTGTCGTGTTTTATACTCCAAATGCAAGCAGCTTCGCAAATCAATCCGAATGCTCACTCGGCTCGTCGGAGTTCTCCTTCTTCTCGGCGACCCTACGTCTCTTGTAACGGCGCTTTTCTTCCGGATCTGCATCCTTCATAGAAGCTTCTCAAAAGCACATTAACCCAGAACAAACCAAAAACATATTACATTATACAGTCCTCAGTGATCTTGGTGAAGACTTTGTCCAAAGTATCCGACTCCATCAGAACTAAGAGATCTGTGCTCGCCTTGTGCTTCTGCTGCAAGCCGATCTGGAGACCGTCCACCATCACGAACTCAAGGGTGGTGGAAGCTAGCTTGGTGGGTTTTTTAATTTTCGGTTCTGTGAAAAGGTCGTCAGCACCACTTCCTTTTTCTTTGCTCTCTTCCTTGATTGCCTTGGCGATTGCATCCTCCCTGCCCTGTCTCAGCTGCTGCAGCCCAGGGGACGAGGTCAGGCTACCGGCGGTTCTGGCACCAAGCAGCAACTTCATGAGTGTTCGGTTCGAAGGCTGAACTTTCAAGTAGTTCAGTTCCCCGATGCTGACGATGAGCTCCGGCGGCACAACTATTTGGCGATCCCGCCACGTGAGACTCGTGCTCGTTCCAATCGTCACCATGAGACCAAAGGCCCAAACAGCAAAACTTGCTTGAACACTCAGCATGCAGGAAAGGAAACATGATGAGGAACGACACAGCATGCAGGCTCGTAAACCAAAAAGCACGTTTGTGCTGTTCCCAAGCAAGCAACAACAATTTGTTGCTACATGGCCAAAACCAGTGAGCATGTCCCAGCATGAAGCAACGGAGGCGACACGAAACCTTGTTGAAGCTGTGCAGTGGCAAATCAAACCAAAATCAATCGACCCATAGCACCATGAGCATCACGAAGGCCGTGACGGTGGCAATCAAGCACTCGACCCACAGCACCATGAGAATCGCGAAGATCGTCACGGCGGCGATCACGTCGTCTTTCTCTTCTTGCTGCTGGAGCCATCCTTCTTCTCCAGCAAGTCCTTGCTGGCCTGCAACAAGATAGTCTGGGCCGAAAGTTTCTTCACATTCGTGAGCATGGGAAGCTTCATCCCATCCAACGTCTTCCAAGAAATCGTCATGCTCACATCCTCTTCCTTGGACGTCGTCTTCACAAAGTAGAAAGGCACGATAACTTCCGTGGACTTCGGCCTTATCTTGTACAACACAGATACAAGAACTCTTCAAACGACAACCCCATACATATAGCCTTAAAAACCATAAAATCCCATCCTGCTTAAGGCGATAGTCTCGTCGAAGTCTTTGAGCTGTGGCCACGGGGACAACTGAAACTTGGCACCTTTCCACTCCACAAACAAAGTGAGTTTCGAAGCATCTTTCGGCTTGGACAAGATTGCCAAGGGGACGAGCTTGAGCTTCTGAGCCGGGAAGCTGATTGAAGTGTAAATGTTCGTGGGGGTCACGATGTCCAAGGCCGCCGAATCGCCGGAGTTGTGATCCTGGTAGAGTTTGAAGAGCATCTGTTGGGCCTCGGCAAGCAACTCGGCCTCGGCCAAAACGGAAGACTTTCCATACATGAGCCCTTCGGCTGCATCCTTTGCCAAAACCCTGGGAAGTGGCAGCCTCGTCGCCTTCCACTTGCGGAAAAGGTCAGGGGGCACCAAGACGGTTTCGGGGGAGCCATAAAGGGGGGTGTGCACGAATTGGGCCTCGTCGTTCTCGAGACCCGTGAAAACAAAGATCTTCTCTGGGTAGTCGGCATGCACGTATCTGCCATCTTTCTTCAAGTGCTTGTTCTGCAACAAAGCCTGCTCTCCTACACTCAAGGCACCCAAGAGGTCCAAGGCCGGCTCCTCCTCTGAATCCTTCCCGTCGGCTTTTGCCGCACTGGCAGAAGCTGCACTGTTCGTGGCTTCTGTGGCAAAGAGCTGGGCTACGTGCTCCGGGCTACGATACACCTCCAACTTCTCGCGGCCCAGCTTCTCTTTCTTGACCAAGATCAAGCTCAGGCGAACCATCATGAGCCCCAAAGCTCGTTGAACGACCGTTGTCTTCCCGGAATCCACGTACACTTGGTAGGCATGAGCCACCATCTGCTCGGCTTGCAAGAGGTTCTGCCGAACATTGGCACCTTTCAGCCTGTCCAAGTCCGATTTGAGGAGCAACCGGGCCGTTCCGTCTACAATCTTGGGGCTCGTGAGCTGGCATGCAAGAAGGCTAGCCCTGAGGAAGGGGAATTGGGTACTTGGCTCCTGCAAGTCCCACGAGGTAACCGCCTTAAACAATTCCTCTCCGATGCAGACTGTGATACTCAGCTCTTTGCAGAAATCCGACAAGAAGCTGATGAGCGGGAAGTCCGGTCCTCCCCCAAACTTCTGCACATACAGGCCTACGAAGTCCATGTAGGAGTGGCAGGCGGGTCTCGAAGCCTTGACAGACTGAACGGCATCTTTGAAGCTCTGACCGGAGGAGACCAGCAAGGCAACCTGTTGAGCCGCTTCCATCTCTTGGATGCCGAGTCCAACCGAGTGCACACTGTTCAGCACCATCTGGACGAAGGCTGGCAAGGTTGGCACCAGAAATTCCGCTCGCCAAGAAAGGACAAGCCAGGGCCATCCCTTCGAGACCGCCTCTTTGAGGGCCTCGTCCTCGAGGTTCACAAAGCCGCCAGCAGCACCTGGCCTTTTGCACCGGTGCTGGGAGGCCTTCAAAAAGGCGGTGGTGTGGCTGGAGGACACCGTCATATACCGCTCGCTTCCCTGGAGTGGGGCGAGCAAGCCCGAAGACTTCTGTACAAGGGCCTCGTTCGCCTCCACTTGCACCCGTCGTTGGGTCTCATGCGGGCTCAATTCGAAACAAATCGAGTCCGTGAGAAGAGACCTTCTGAATCCTAACTCGAGAATCTTTTGGCCTTTGTCATGCACGTCCAGTGCATTGATCATAGCCCCTCCTCTATTGTGGGGATGGACCAGGAAGTCGTTGGGGCACAACATCGTGGAGTATGCCAAACCATTCTCTTTCAAGAAAGTGGTCAAGCGGTCGAGCCGCTTGTTCGGCGGCACCTCCGTGTCGTCCATAATCGCCCGGATCGCTGCCTTGAGGGTGTTGTCGTCCATCGTGGCACGGTGGGGTTGCCTAGAGAGGTGGCTGCTGTGCACGTCTTTGAAGCTTCCAGCTGAAAACAAAGTACCAATGGATTTCCTTTGCTGCTTGCCATGCATGAATTATGTAGCAATGGATTTCCATTGCTGCTTGCATGCATACCACATCCGAGTTTAAACTAAGAAGTGGCTCTCCGGCTTTTGCACCCGCACTATACCACGGCCGATCTAGTTAGTCCATGCTGTTCAAATCAGTCGCTTGCCCCTGCGACAAACTCTGGAGGGCCATTCGGTTCTGCCTCACCGTGCAGGATGGCTTGTGCATCCCAAGGCCTGACTTGCACCAGCTGCAGCACCAGTGGTGAGGAGTCGTAGTCATCCTATCGCACTGTGGCGACCCTTGACAAGGAATCCTACTGCCTGCCGGGAGCTCACGATTGCGATGTGCTTGCACATCCTGGCATCTGCTCGAATGCCCACCATAGTTCTTCCGACATTGGGAGCAGCAATGTCTCTTCGAAGGTTGGCACAGTCTGTCGCAGCCAGGAGTCGCACAGGGATGCCACCCATCCATGATCCGCAAAACCAGAACTCAAAATCGAAACAAAGCTCGGGCACCAAACTTTTCTGCAATCTATACAGAATCACAACAATCATGCATCCAACCAAAATGCCCCCAAGGCCCATGCATGTCATGCACTGTCAGCCCCGAAGGACTACCATGACTAAAGCCACGAAGGATTGCATGACATGAGTGAAGCCCCGAAGGACTGCCATGTTGAAAGCCCCGGAGGACTGCATGTCAAAAGCCCCGAAGGACTGCATGTATTATCCAACCCGAAGGACTATATTAAAAACCCGAAGGACTGCAATATCTAAAGCCCCCGAGGGCTGCATGTCATGCAGAAAGCCCCAAAGGACTTGAATGTGAAAAGCTCCAATGACTGCATGCATGTCATGCATAAAGCCCCCATGAGGGGCTAAAGACCCGATTTAAAGACAATCATGTCAAAAGTCCCCAAGTGCATGCCATGTATACAGCCCCGAAGGACTGCCACATGAAAGGCACCAAAACACTGCAAAAAGCCACAAAAGACTGCATCTCATGTATAAAGCCAGGAAAGAAAGATGATTCAAACAATGGTTTATGCTTCCTTAAAAACATAGATTTCGCAAGTGCTAAAATTAAGATAAAATTAACATGAAATTAGCTTTAACCTAAAAATACAAAAATCTTAGCATCTCATGTAATCAATTAGCATACTTATAAGTCTTTAGTCAGCACTTAGTCCATGGTTAGAACACTGTTACAGTACGGTTACCAATCCCTGTAACAATCTTAAGTCATTAGCCAAAGGACAGCCCATCAAAGCAAGCAGCTTGCCCCCGTTGAACGGAGGCTTCAGCGTCTCTCCTGCCATTGTCCGGCGCTGTCTGTGGCACCCCCAAGTATTTATACTCAGCCACGATGCGCAGGGTCCGCCCCGGTGCAAACGTCACCTGCGACTGGGGCAAGAAAAGCCTGCCTCGCGCTTCGCGTGCCCCTGGACCTCGCAGGAGCAGCAGCCCTTCCGACTTGCCGGCACCCAAGTTGACACGAAGACGATAGGATTCAGCAGTGTCGACGATGGTGCGTGTGACAACAGGGACAGTGGCTTCGAGCTCCTCAGCCGAGTCGGCATCAGTAAGCACCGAGAGGTCGTCTGCCCAAGCGACCTGGAATGGGCGGCAACTACCCCCAACTGCTTCGACCGCCGAGTGGTGCCCGATGCCTTGTGCAGCAAGCTGCTGTTCAACATCGTCGAGGATCTGAGCGAATATCGCTCCGAAAAGGACATCTGCCAGTCCGTCGCCTGGCCTGCTGCCACGTCCAGCCAGGATGATGGCATCGTGCCCCGCGAGAGTCCAGTGCGAGCACCGTACGCAATCTTCGAGCAGACACACCGCTTCCTCCGCCATGCCCCGTCTTCGTAGGACCCCATCTCGAAGGAGACCGGATGCGAGGGAGGTCGCGCGGAGTTGTCGGTCATCCGCAGCGTGACAGCCGAAGAGGAGGTCCCGATCAGCTTCATAATACGCCGCTTGGACATCCAAGAACAGAGCGAACCAAGAGCGGTTAGCGTAGTCGCTGAGGGCCGTCAGAGACCTGAACACAGACACCGCGAAGCCTGTGTGTACTCCTCGACGCCCTCCCAGCTGGAGAGGGTGATAGGCAGCAAGTACTTCCTGACCTAAGGAATTCCGGACCTGTCCATGCCAGACCTTGGCAATGCCGTTGAGAAGCGCGATAGATCGGTAGTTGGCTGGGACGCTGGCAGGTCCCTTTTTGTGCAAGGCACATACGATAGCAGCTTTAAAATGGAGCGGCTCCCGGCCCTGACCGGCAATGTCCGCGCAGAGGCTCCAAAGCCACTGGGCTGCCTCCACAGGCTGCGTGCGCCAAAGCCCGTTTCGCAACCCGTCCGGTCCGGGTGCTTTGTGGAGCTTTTGGCGTCGGCATTGATGTTCAACCTGAAGAAGGGAAGGCAGAGCAGCAGGGCATGGCGCGCGTGGGCGGGACTCGGAGGCCCTGAAGGCGGCGAGTAGCCCTTGTTTCGTGACTCGACTGCCGGCCTCCTGGCGCTGGAATTGGAGTAGCAGGTCTGCATCAATATCGTGGCCTCCTGCCGCAAAAACCTTGCGCCGCTCTGCGGCCTTCCTAGAGGCCCATTTGAGCCGATGAGTGGCTTCCATCGCACGGCCTGTATCGAGCCAAAACTCGGTCGCCGTGGCAGTAAGTTTGCGGAAGTGCTCTGCCTTGTCCCTTCTCGCCAAGAAGTGAGCATGCTCGCGCGCCCGAAGGACTCGGAGCCACGTCCTGGCATAGGCCCGGTGTCCGATCCGGATGCCGACGCGGATGTGCTCAATAGGGGCAGAGCGGGCCGCCCAGGCCTTGAAGGCCAAATGGAGCTGATTGAGGGTGCAGGTCCGAGCCTGTTGACGAAGGATCTTGCGATCGGCTTTCAGCGCTGTGAGGACCTGAACCGCCTCGTCAGAGATGTACGGTTGCCGCGGGATGATGCCACTGGCTTGCCGATGCCGGCTGGCCAGGCGGTGATAGCGGGAGGTGAGGGCTAGGGTGGCCCTATGTGGACCGCCCGGGTACTTGAAGCCTGCCCAAACCTCTGGGGCAATGTGCGTGGCGGTCGCCTCAGGTGGTGCCAGGGAAACCGGGGTCTTAGTAAACTGTTGACAACCCCTTACGCGCGCAGTACAGGCAACTGGAACGTGGTCCAGAGTGCTGTTGACGATGTCAAACTCAGGGAGGCACTTGGACTCGTCCACTGTGATGTGGCCAGCGGCAACCAGAATGTGATCATGCCTGCGCTGTTTCCCAGAGGAATGCTGCCACGTCCAGGTGGGTCCCTGGTGAAGGGAACTCCATGTAGCAGGCGCCTCCAAGTGGTGGTCTTGCACAAATGACAGCAGCTCTAGATCACCCTCTCTAGGTGGCCTGCTGTCAGTAAGATCCCCTATGAGCCGATGCTCTGCGTCTGGCGCAGTGAAGTCCGCATTGGCATCAATACCCATGATCAGGATGGTATGAGGTGGCAGCGGGTGCAGTGCGTGCCGAATCGCTGCCCAAAATTGATGGATTTCCTGTTCGGGCCGCTCCGCATGTGGTGCGTGTGCTGAGAGAATGGCCAGCGGAACATCTGGTCTGAGACAGCGAACCAGCAGCCAGCGCGGTGAGGCTGACAAAATCCTCCAGTCTTGCAGCTGAAGGTGGTGTCCTTGCCACGTGCGGCGAAACCAGACCTCCACTCCGTACTGTCCCTTTTCATGGCCGCTACGCCATGTGAGAAAGGGCCCGGATGAGTACCGTCCCGGGTTGCTACGGCGTTCTTGCAGGCAGAGGACATCAAGTCCCAGCGAATCAGCTTGACGAACAAGAAAGGCTCTGTGCTGTCCCCCTGCGGCAGCGGAGAAGAAGTGCCTCTTGTCATCTTTAATGGTTTGAACGTTGGCAGAGACAAGGACGATCGGCAGGGACGTAACCGACTGGGAATCATGCTCCGGTGGAGCAGCAACAGGAGCCTCCTTGGCCTCCTTCGGTTCTGTGGGCAGTGGTTCGTCTCCTGCGCTAAGCTGTAGCCACGGCGTGCCTGCCAACATCGTGCATCTATGGAGGGCCCATAGCCAGGGGCCGTGCTCGTCCATGGCAAGGGAGAGCGATGCCGCCGTGAGCCGGGGGAGGTGGTTCCATTCCAGCCCTTGTGATGCTAGTCCGGCAAGTGTGTCGACAACCTCGTTGACGAAGACTCCTGTGTGCCCTGGAGTGTGGCAGAACCTGGTGCTGTGCTTAGCCTGAACCAATTGCCAAAGGCACCTCAACGATTTTGCCGCCGCAGTCTGGGCAGTGGCCTGCCCCGCCGCGATACCCAAGGCCGCAGTGTTGTCCACCGCTATGGTCACAGAAGCAGGGCGCGAGCTGCACCACATCTCGTGCAGACTGCAGTAAGTGCTGATCCATGCTGCGGCTGCATACAGCGCAGCCATTTCTGCATGAAAGGAGGCAAAGGAAGGGTGTCTTTGGTCCGGCGGAATCGGGTACCATTTAGCCTCAAGGAGAGGACCGGCCGCGCAACCCAAACGGTACCAGGTAGTTTTCCGGCGCGCCCAGACTGCGAAGGCCCACCCGCCATCCCCTTGTCCGGAGCCGTCCGTGGAGACAAGAAGAGCGTCGGGAACCCCCCCTGGCCAACTAGGGAAGGCCTGCCACATCTTGGCGGCGTGACCATTGCCTGGCATGAGCGTGTGCAGCGGTGCGCCCCAGGCGTTGAGAATACCGACCTGCAGGGCAGCCACATCGGTCATATCCCGGTAAACAGCTCCCGTATCCTCTCGGCGGAGGCGGGTGGAAGGCGCCGGAGCCCCCCAGGCAGCAAGATAACAAGTGAGAGGCGATGGGCACGGAACCCGGGTCCGGTGATGTGGGTACAAATGGCCAGCCCCAAGACCAGCGCTGAACAGGGAGGCGGCGGAAGGGCGGGCGTTGCCGGTCAGTAGGTCCTGTCCAGGCAGGCCTGCACCGCACAGGACATAACTGAAGGAGATACACAGGACCGGAATCCACAGGGAGCGCGGCAGCCGCAGTGTTCCACTTGCAGCTACAAGTACGAAGATAATTGGAGACAGCAGTGGCCGAGGACCTGCCCTGCCCGTAGCGCCATCTGCAAGCCAATCACCGTCCCGGAGATCAGGGTCAGGGACGGGTGGGCCATTACTGTTCATTCCCGAGGAAACCACATAGGCACCAACTGAGCAGCGGCCTGCGCGGGGTTAACATGGGTGCAGCTTAGAGTATGGCCTGAGAACAGGATGGTGCGGGAGAACCGACGAGGGGCCCTGCGCAGTAGCCACGGTCGTCGGCTGGGCCGGACCGGCGCGGGAACCCAGCGGCCATTCAGTGCCCCACTGCCTGGACTTCGGATTGTGAGACCACGTGGATCCCATTCGCTGGAGGCCGGAATGGTGACGACGGTGGGCGCCTGGTCCGGGGTCCACAGAACGACCTCGCCTGCTTCTGCCACTTTGAAAGGGGCGTGCCAGATCGCAGCGACACCGGCCTCAACCCAAGTGGAAAACCACGGGCAGCAAGGGTCCAACCGTAAGGGGTGAGAGGAAGCCAATCCTATCGTCAACCGATCCCCGTTACGCAGGTAGAGCTTAAAATCAGCGTTGCCGGAGATAAGGCATGGGAGTGGTGCCCCAATTTTGACCGGTACACCAACGCGGATAGTCATTGTGGTCTTCAGGGCATCATACGTGATAACTGCCGGCAGCATCATGGCGAAGATTTGCCCCAGCCCTTCCACCAGGACAGTGACAAACTCTTCAGGAGCTCTGGTGACTAACTGGAGTGTCCCTTGTCTGACGGGGGGGTTACAGACATTGGCTCCAGTGGACCCTATGGGCGAGTGGACGGTGGCGAGGGTCTCCACCTGTTGCCAAAACGAGGCCAGGCTGACAGCTGTAGGTGCGCTGACCCCCGCAAAAGGGCACCATAGCTGGACAACTGACACGCTAGGGTCTTCTCCCGTGAGCAGGGCATCGAGTGGGACAGCATCGAACTGTCCCGGTGGTGACGTCATTGTAGATGCAAGGAAGCCCGGAGGGGGAGAACGAGAGCGAGGCCGAGTGGCAGACTCAGAGTCATCTTGCCCCTCTGGGTCCATCGCTCCCACGCCGCCTAAGGTAACCAGCAGGCAAAGTCCTCGTGGGAAACTTCGGGGGATGAGACTACAAAGGGCAACCCCAAGAGGTGGTACGAGTTTGCAGACCGAGCTGGAGTCAGCTCCGCTCATGGCATTTGGCAAGGCCGCAGTCTCAGGGTCTGACGAGGTGGGGGTGGCTGGTGCACTAATGATGATGTCACCGTCGCGGAGTGCGATGGGCCGGTCGGCATGGATGTGAAGGCCCAACACCTGGACAGTGGAAGGGGCTGCTGACAAAACTGTGGCCAAGCACTCGAGCGAGCTCGGGTTATCCACACTGAGACAACAGCAACGGCCATCACGTTCATGGAGAACGGTGGCTTCTCGCCCATGGCTCGCAGTGCACACCATATTGGGGATTTCGTCGCTGACCCAGGGGACAGGGACCCAGGAGCCAGCAACATGGGCCCGAGAGAACGAGGCAAAGGACAAGAAGTCCGGATCCCACGTATCACCTTGAGGTAGTTCGAGCTGCTGCGGCATGGATTGCCCCGGTCTCCAGAGCCGCAGTCGGATCGGAGTGAGGATCTGAAAAGGCAAACTCCAGGCAACCGCATGGCGCACAAAAGACTCATCGTCTGTGGCGGTTGTGCCAGGCCGTGCTGTCTCAGGGATGGCAAGGACATAATCACCGGACCGGAGCTGAAGGTAGGACGTAGCCGCAGTAGCCTGTCGTCTAAGCTGCGGCGGGAGCGCAAGTGTAAGGGCATGTCGCCCGAAGGCATGGCGCAGCGTCCGCAGCAGCCATTCCACAGTGACTACCCGTGGTAGCAGAAGGGCCACAGTGGCATGCCAAACCCGTGCCACGATGCACACGGTAGTTGGGTCTGGCGGAGTGGGGACAACAGCCAGTTCACAGGCAACCGGGGAGGGCCAGACCGGCGCGTACCCATCCGCCCACAGGATCCTGTCACGATCCGCTCGTCCAAAGGAGTGTGTGCAGGAGGCCTCAGCCTCAACCACCGTGACATGACCTGCCCCCCAGAAAGGGCTTAGGCATACTACCCTTACCTGCCTGCCTTCAACCACCATCAACAGGTTCGCAGTGTCAAAATCAGTCCTCCATGGGAAACGCCCCACCCGGACAAGGTCGGTATGAAGTCCTTGTCCGACGTAGTCTGGCAACGGCACAAAAACGGGCCCAGTAGCTCTGGGTTCGAACATAGCAGCAGCCCCAGCTATGAAGGCGAGCCATCTCAGCCGACTTGGCAAAGCCAGGCCCGCCAGAGCACGGAGCACAGGTGAGGGATGCGGTGACCTAGCATCCGATGTCGGGACCTGAACGGGTTGCGGTCTCGGCGGGCCTGCGAACGAAAACCGCATGCAGGCTCCATCATGGAGTGTGACCGCATCATGACAAGGCTCGTCCGTGAGTGACTGGTGGAGCCGGATCCTGGAGCCTTCAAGTGTCAAGTGTTGTGTGTCTTCCTGGGTGAGATGCGTGGGAAGTGACACAGGACACAGACGATCGCCATCTCCCTTCAACAGGACGTTCGAACGCAAAGGGTCCACAGCAGCTGGGAGGAAGTGTAGTGCGCATGTGTCTGGCTGTGGTTGGGCAGGACGCAGGCGCGTCCACCCATGCAGGCGGGCGTAATCTTGGAGAAGGCGCCATGGTGGAAAGCAGCCATTACCCACCGGTGGCAGCTGGAGCGGGGCAGGTGAACCAGGGGAGAAGGGGCTATATGAATCCGAATCGGCACCCGAAGGTGGTCTAGATCAACTGCCGTAGCAACTTCAACCCCGGGACACCCATGTAGCAGGGCTTGTTGCAGCTGCAGGATGTCGCGACTCGAAGCAGAGCGGACCACGCTATCAGCGCCTGTAGGGCCCGGAACCGTCGTGCGGGCTCTGTCATCATCAGCCACGGCCGCAGCGGCAGGGGACCCAGGGAAATGCTCCAACCGGTGTGCATGACGCAGGTGTCCGGTGGAGCCGAGAGGACGGCCCTGAGCGTCGTCTCGCAGGAAGCACAACTGAGCAGGCGCAGGGTCAGCTGATCTAGAGCGGCTGCGTTCTGGGGCAGCCCCATCTGGGGCAGCAACCACAATGGCTGCGCAAAGGCTAAGCAGGACTCCTGGTCGTGGAAAGCCGCGAAACAAGAGTGCAGCCAACCCCAAACTGCGCCACAAAAGACTGTGGCAACCTCGTGTTGCGCCAGAATGGTCTTGCTTCCCTGGAAGCACTGGCGCGGGAGCCTGCGCTGCCTGATGTCCCTGGAAAGCTCCTGTCCCCGCTTGTGGAAGACCTTCCGCCGGGGGCACATGCGCTTGTGCGGCCAGGGCTGCTAGTTGACACTGCATATCTTGAATGGCCCACCAGATGTGGTCGCTGTTCCTGGATCGGTCTGGCAGCTCGCATGACTTTGGGTCACCAGGCCTGGACATGTGCGACCGGGGCCAGGCGAAAGGCTGGCCCCCGTAAGGCCTGGCAGCGCCTGTGGCGCGACAGCAGCTGCAGGTTGGTGGCCCGCTGCAAGCAGTGGTGAGCGGGCAGCCGCACCACCGGGTTGAACAACCCACCTCCACGCTCTAGCAGTATTATTGCCGGGGCTCACCGTGGGCTGTGTCAGTAGCGCGACAAGAGGCGCTTCTCGAAGGGGGCCCGCTTGCAGCAGATGTGGGTGTGGCAGAAGGGCTGAGTCTTGCGACCACGGGTCAGGAGGGGGGAGGTAAGAAGTGTACTGTTGGCGGGCCTCAGCAAGCACAAGGTGTTCCCCATTGCGAACTTGCACAGCCTGACCAAAAGTGTAGCCACAGTTACCAATGCGGAAGGATAGGGCTTGGGGATGTGCATGGTCCTCCCGGAACGTGTCACGGAACCAACGAGCAAAGACGCCCCAATCAAACAAGGATGACTCGAAGGAGAAAACTGCCGCCCTACCTTCAAGCTGCACCAAACAGACTGAGATCCCAGCGGAGGTGAAGTGGGCCGGAGCATAGATTGCTTCATAGACAGTTTGTCCAGGCGGGCTCCGTACAGCCACTAAAGTCCCCTTAGCAACCCCGTACCCACAGAGCTGGACGATATTGTGGATCTCTTCCTCTGAAGGCCATGGTGGTCCCGCTAAGTACATGGGAGAAGAGTGGTCAACAACCCAGATGCGGATGGCCGTATATACCCTGGCCGGGGTAAGCTGAGCCTGTTGCATGGCAAGGGTACCTAGTGGCCCACCAGAGGTGCGGCCCCAGGATGCCCAGAAGGGCATGGTCCAACCAACGCCCGGAGCCGAGACACGAGCCTGTGCCAAGGTGACGGTAGCCGTCAGGAGGAGTGCCCAGACACAGTGGCACGGCAGCCCTGCGGGAGGGAGTGGCAGACGGCAATACGGCTGTGATGGGCCAAAGCATTGACCTCTCCGGCAGAATTCACAGTGGCTGCAATAAGGCATCCCGCGCATGGGAGCCTAGCAACTGGCCGCAAAAGTTCTCGACTGAGCAGATCCCGGACAATCCACCAGTAGCCTTGACCCCTGGGGACAGCAATCAGCTCGAGAGTGAAGGGATCCGTGTCGCAAGCGACATACAAGTCATGTTGCTCGGGGCGAAACCCCCCTGCGGCAAGACCGGTAGCGAGAGAGGCTGGGTGCAGTGTGTTCCAACTGACAAGAGAAGGGCCTCGCAAAGGTGTCCAAAGACGGATGTCATGTGCTTCTTGAGTGAGGGAACACAGCCATCCATACAGCCGGTCGGCCTCCACCGGGAAATTTCCTGCGGCAATCGAGGCTTGCATAGCCCAGCCTTGTGGCGGATCGTAGCAGTGGTCGTGCTGGTCCTCAAGGGCAACCGTGGAGACGGGGAAGGACGCATTGCCATCACTGGTGCTATCGTTAGCCGATCCCTCGGATGAGGTGGCTGCACGATGTCCCGGCCTGGCTTCCGCTGACAAGGCCCACAGGACAGGGAGCCACCACGAGAACTTGCCGGCAGAGAGGGCACTGACCAGGCCGAAGGCGGTCCCGGTCAACACCGGGGCAGGCGGGGGAGACGGATTAGCAAAACATGGAGCGCACGATTGATGCAGGTGCAAGCACTTCCCCGACGCGTCCTCCAAATTCTGCGGGTACCTCCACCAAAGCTGCCCCGAGGCAACGGTAAGATCAGCAATGTCCCAGGATGAAGCTCCCCCGACAGAAGCAATTGCTTCCCAGGACAAATGAGCAGTGCAAGCACTAAGCCAAATGCCCTCAACGTTCAATGCCCAGATTTGCATGTGTGGGCCGCACCTAATGACGCAGGTCACGTCCTGTTCGTCACAGTGGAGGACCTGGAGGTCGCCTTCGGTAGTTTGTAGGTGCGAGGGACGACACTGGGGTCGAACCGGGGTAGCAGATCTGCGCATCCCTCTGGCTGAGCCTGAACCTGACCTGGTAGTGGTAGCTGGGCCATGTCGCCCTCTAGATGGGGTACGGCCCGACTTGGCCCGTGAGCCAATGAGGGTGGCCCGCTGCCGGAACACAGAAAAGCAACCTCCTGGCAGTGCCTGCAGATCAAAAGCCATCTGCACATACAATGTGCGGGTGTTACTGGCATCGGCAAACACCCCATGGACAGTGCGAACCGTGCGGAGGTCTGCATTAGACACTACCCTGAGTCTGCTGTTTACCTAATTTTACACTTTGGCTTGATTTACTGTAAACGAAGGATTTAGTGTAAAATGACCAAATTTACGTAAATTTTCTGGTGAGCTAAAAACATGACAAAACACATAAAAACATTATGCAAACACAAACATAGAACTCATATTTGCGGCTGCAAACTTAGACACCACATGTAAAGGATTTAAAAAAATCACCGGCATGAGTTTGTTTTGCTCTGCAATCGCAGACACCACATGTAAAGGATCCACAGCAGAAGTAAGGACTTTTCCGAAAATTCGCAGGCACAAAGCCATAAACTAACCAAAGAGAATCCATGCAGATTGCTTATAAGATCCACACCAGTATATACGACAACTGTGATTCAAAAGCCCAAACAAAAGACCAGGAGCACCACATATAGCAGAGAGACACTCTTTTTTTTTTTTACAGAAAAGAAAGAAGCTCTCACGATCGCCCAACTTTGCCCCGCAGAAACAAAAGGTGCCTCTCTTTGAGGGCAGCCTTTTTGGAAGCATGCCAGTGCTGCACCCCTGCCAAACAACTCTTCCATAGAATCTGCAGGCGATGCATCGTCGTCTCTCCCTTGTAGCACCAGACCATCGACGGATGAATAAAACTGCTGAGTAGGAGACTATGCAAAACGAAGTGGGTCTTACTTGTGAGATTGAAGAGCTTCTCCCCCGTCCCTTTGTAGTGGGCTTGCCGGCTGCTGTGGAGCTGTGCCATTTGGCAACCGAGCTTGAAAGCCAGGTTTGCTTGCTCCTCAGGTAAAGCCAAGAAGCCGTACCGTGGCCCATAAGCTTCCAATATTGCAGCCAGCTGCAGGTTCAACCGCAAAAAGAGCCGGATTTGCTTGTGTTGATAGATACCCTCGTCCATTTGCTCTTCGAATAGAGCAAGAATTGCACTGTCCAAAGATTGAATATCGGAAGCTCTTCCTCTCATCTTGGGGAATCTTTTTTTTGGTTGTATCATTGTAAGTTTCAGAAGTCGCTGGCGGAATGTGTATCTGGTTTCGTTGTCTCGCTGGTACTTCTTGATGAAGGAGTCGCAGTATTTCAAATTCGCCAAGATACTCCCACCAAAACAATCGTGGACCACGATGCTGAGCACGGAGCCATAAAAAAACTGTATCCACCCCAAAAACATACAATGCATATAGTCCATCGTGATACAAAGTCCCGAAAAGCCAGGTAAAGAATACAGCTGGCATGATGGATTCCAGTGGGATCTCCAGTTGGTGGTGGTGAGGCACGAGGCTTGCCACGGCGAATTTGCACGATTGTCCATCCATGTTAGTGGTCCTTTGAAGGCGGCCCGACAAAGAGCACAAGGTTTGCTGTGATTGCTCCATCGTGGAACCTCCAGCCATTTCGCATAATAATCCAAGTCGCCAGCCATTTGAACCAGGACACCATAATATCCTCCGCATAGGTCGGTTCCCGCTCGTTCGCCCTCCTTTGTACTGGCCCCATACCTCTGTGCCGTGTAACAAACATTTTCTTACTTGTGAGACAGGTTCATATATATCTACATATATATATCTACATGTGGTGAGAGGGTT